TTCCAATATGCGTTTTTGCTGCCTGTTGCAGCGCTCTAGCGTTGCACGGCAAAAACGCATAAAAAACCAAAACCACACCTCCCCGATCACAGATGCTGATCCGCGGGGAAAACAGACAAAGCCAGGGTAACACAAACAGGGAAGTTTCGCGCCGTCACAAAGGACCGGAGCTGATTCTCGAAACATTTGGAGGCCATAGGAGTGTCCGACCAATTCGTAGCATCAACAGCCCCATTAAATCAGCAATATTCAAAAACGGATTTTTTGATATTTTGAATATTTCCATTTACATTCGAGGGGACCATATTCTGCCTCTTACAACCGTATGTTTAAAAACTCGTAATTTCCAAGAATTTTGGCTCCAGACGGAAAATTCCGGGGAAAAAGTATGGGAAGGGGAACGGAAAAAAGCAAAAAGAATACAAGGAAACAATCGGCATACCCACGCAGTGGAAAGTAGTACTGCGGTTATGCCGTAAGTTAGGTGTTCGATTTTGCCGCAACAAGAAATCTGAAGCGATTTTGTTGGCTTATTAAAGCATTCATTAAAAAGTACTGAAAATCAACTAACACGTCGTTTTTAGCATTAGCGCGAAAAACATCGGCAGAAGCGGCGGTACAAAGTATTGCAATGCAGCAACATTCAAGAAATAAAAGTATCGCAATATCTAAAAATGCTAATTTCTTAGTTTCTTCGATCGGATGTTAATAGAAGAAATATAGCGAAGCACACATTTGCTTCTCCATTGACCGATCGCAGGCTACCGAGACGCTGTGCCGATTCCCAAGCTCGAATGTGTGGTGTGCTGTGGATGCGAAGAGCCTAAGACTAAAGTCAGCAGCCATAGGCGGATCAAGGACAGACTCCAGGAAAGGGGGATGGCGGCGGAAGAGGGACGGAGAGGAGAGTGTCTTCCCATCCTGGAACTAAGCAAAAACTAGGAATAGAGTAGTAACACTGCTACTTAGAGTTACTTTTTTTACTTTACTTTTACCTTTACTTTTGGGCTTTTGCAGCACTGATGCCTGTGCCACTCTCCGCACCTTTCCCCTCCCACTGGATCCGCCTATGCCGGCGGCATGGCTGACTACACCAAATGAGAACATTTCGTATACGAATTAGTACTGAACTAGTATAAGGGTCATGTAACAAATATAATGAACAATGCTGGAGGACGAAAAGATCAGTTTGGCTGCACATAATATTTGTACTCAGCGTCAAATGAGAGTCCTATCCTCATTTATCAAATCCAATATCTTAAAATGCGTAAACATAACTCACAAACTTCGGGATAAAAACACACACACATCTCAATCCTTCCTTCGTCTATTTTCCCAACTCATCCTCTTCCAGAAACTTCAAGCGCAACACCCCTCCCATCTTCCTTCCCTTAACTCTGATCCCACACTTGTTACGGGAAACTCGCGAAAAGCTGGCCAAAAAGCCACCACAAACAGAAAGAGAAGGAAGATAATATCACGCCTTGAAAGACAGATACGCAGTAGCCGTGCTGCCACGCTGAATAGAGAACACAAGGACCAGTAGTGTAGTGGTAACGCGTTGCGTCCGGGCGTGAAGGGGAGTGGTTCGATTCCCTCCTGGTGCAGAACAATTTTCGAGAGAAAGGTCTCCATTCGCGATAACACCCTTTTGACCCTGACCTCAAATTTTGAACGTCGACGCTCTGAGATAAGTGTCTAAAGAAAAAGTAGCCTGTACAAATGCTGAATTTTAACTATAAGGTAACATGAATAACCTTCATTTGCAGTACAGATGTTTTGATGTAGCCTGTTTCACGACGAATATTAGAAAGTGTCACCATTGCCTGATCCAGAAATGATTGCAAATGAGGGCGATACAACGAAAGACGTAGAGCTGCTGTTAACAGAATGATGTATATTCGTACAATATCCAACTGAGATTCATTGAGCCTAAAATATGAACAAAATAAACAAACATCCTGCATATGATATTTGCATTTTCACTAATTCAGCAACTTCAATGATTCAGAATCTCTTGAAACGGTGAAGTGCTTCACAGTGATCAAGAAACAACAACATTTGCGATAAAGTGCTGATGCTTAACATATATTAAGGACATTTCGAAAAAACTAGGACCTTATTTGGCTCCTTTTCAGAGAAAAAATACTGAGCTGGTAACTCTTTTAAGCGACAAAATTTTTGGTCAAAACAACTAGAAAAGTTTCCAGTTCTACAGCTGGACAATACATTACGAATTACAGCTGACCCAAGTTTTTTTTATTTGAAGTATAATACTTACAAAATATGAAAAAGAAAATTCAGAAAAATCTGTTCATTTGCAAAAACGTCATAAATGTTTTCAAAAAGGAAAAAATCTTTTAACAAAAATATCGATTCTGAAATCTTACTGACAAAACAACTCAGCTGCAAATTGTTTTGATTTCAGGAATTTACAAATAACTAACAATTTTCTCGGTCCATAAACGAGGTAATTCTTTGCGGGATGAGTGTAAAGAAAGAGTGCCATAAATTGAAGCATAAATGACAGATGATATAAAATCCTGAAATAATCAATCCAAAAATTATAAATAGCAACGCTCATCAGACTAGCCGGTGCGATCATGCGTTTTGTGCAATTCTGTCAACCGAACAATTGCCTATTAACGATTTTCACTGCTTTGTAATTTGAAACCTTGAACGGTGAATATCCTTCCACGATTCCCAAGATAATTTATTCGCAAAAATTTAGACGGGGCCGTTGATGATACCTGAAAGCGCGGGTTCATTTGAATTTGCAAGGTAGTTCGTGGGCAGGGAACACAACTCTAAAATTTCAGCTTCCTAGACTCCGTGGTTCCCGAGACAATACTTTACCCGTCAAAAATTTTCACGGGGCTGTACATGTTATCCGCAGGCAGGGGAAAGCTGAATTTAAATTTTCTGGGTAGCACATGGGTGGGGGACATGCCTACGAAATTTCAGCTTCCTAGCTTCCGTGGTTCCCGTGATAATAATTTTATCCGCCCAAACTTTTACGGGGCTGTACGTGTTACCCGCGGGTGCGGGGAGGCTGCATTTAAATTTGCGGGGTCGCACGTGGGTGGGGAACGTTCCCGTAAATTTTCGACTTCCTAGCTTTTGTGGTTCCCGAGTTAAAAGC